AAAAAAACTTTTTAAGTCTCTAATTGTGGCAGCAGAGTTCCAGAATTGTGCAAAAAAGTGAAAAAAAATTGTTAAATCCCCACCACTGTAAAGGCATGTTGGGTAGGGCATAAGGCAGGGAGGCAGAGTTAAGAGACAGGTCAGGAAGAGAGTGCGATGGTGGCAGCAGTCCCAGGGGTGCAATTGAAAGAGGTGCTGTGATGGCTGCCTTGAAAGCAGTATGTACTCATTTTTATTAGTGTGACTGCTGCCAAAATGAGAACTGGGCTTGTGCTGAAGAGTCTTTAATCTCCTCCCATATTGCTCTTTTTCCTTTTGTTTCATACCTTAATTAGATTGGAAGCCTGAGGGCAGGGAACTAGTTTTTTGTTGTTGTTGGTTTTTTACTTATAAAGCAACATGTGCAGTGGAGACAGACAGACAGACAGAGAATACAGCTAGTGTCTGAATCCTCCAAGCTGCACAATCACACTGGGTGGGAGTTTATGGGAGCTGTAGTCATCACAAGCAATGTATCCAAGTTCAGGGATCAGGGTCAATGAGGCACAATCCCAATTCTGCCCCACTCTGTAAACATGAGTTCACTGAACACTTGGAAGGAACTTTGGGGTGATCTTAGCAGGGATTAAAGCTGCTTGTTTTCTGCTGCTCCAGAGACTAGGACCTGGAGCAATACATGCAAGCTACAGGAAAAAGAGATTCCACCAAAACATTAGGAAGAACTTTCTGACAGTAAGAGATGTTCAGCACTGGAATACATTCCTTGGAGAGTGGCGGAGTATCCTTCTTTGGAGGTGTTTAAACAAAGGCTGGATGGCCATCTATCGGAAGTTGTTTTGATTGTGAGTTCCTGCATGGCAGAGGGTTGGACTGGATGGCCCTTGTGATCTCTTCCAACTCTGGGATTCTATGATTGTACAATTCTATGTAGCATAGCTTTCCCAACCAGGTTGGTACTGTGGACCTGGCAAAGGTCATAGTTAAGTCTGAGCCCTACCTGGTAAGTCTACTGAAAAAAGGGGCTGCACACCATTCATAGTGTTAGACATTGTGCTGCCGCAGATGCTCCTCTGCCCAAGAACCCTGGTTCAGAGAGCAACAACGAGGAGGAGTTCCAATGGGACCAGGACCAGCGTGCAGGAAGGATCCTCCATCCCACCTTCCTTGCCCCGATGTCTGTCTGTGTTTCCCTCCTGGTGATGTCTTCATGAAGTGGCCAGCTGCTCAGCTGTCAGGATTGAGGAGAATGGGGAGACACTATGCAACTCCCACTATTCAGAGTTGTGTGTGTGTGATTTTCTTTTAAAGGGAGGCCTTCCAGACTTGGTTGAAGCCCCCTGGGCCCTCCTCTGGCACCTGATCGATGGGATGAGTGACGGGTTTGTAGGGCCGGGGTGAGAAAGCTTCCCCTAGCTGCTCAAGCATTCATCTGCTGTACCTGGCCCTCACCCCATCTATCAGCAAGGGTGGCAGGCATCCCGGCCCCCTCCCTGGCTCTGCACCCCCAACACACAGATGCAAACACACATAGAGAATTGTAAGACATGAGATGGACAGATAGACTCAGCTCACTCTTCTCATATTGTCTCAGAATGCAACACATAGAAGTAAAAACAAATGCAGGGGATTTGATCAGGATCCTCAAGGCACAGCCCTATACTTTAGGTTAATTGATCTAGAATAACTGTCACTTAATTTCCTGTTGCCCTTCCAAACAGTAATGTGGACTACAGATATCACTGCACCTATACGTTTCATGAAACAGAAGGAAAAAGAATGGTGTTTTACCTCTTTCTCTGTAAGTAGACTGGAGTGGGCCACTTGTAGCCTTCAGGTGTTACTATACCACAACTTTCATCAGCCTGAGTCAGCCTTTGATGGGAAATACAGCCCAGTAACATCCACAAATTGAAGACCTAAAATGAGTATCTCTAAATGTTTCTTGATAATGTGCCTGGTGACCTGCCTAAATACTCTGAAGGCACTAGATGTCATCTGATTTTGGAAGCTAAGCAGGGTCAGCTCTGGTGAGTATGTAGATAGGAAACTACAAACAAATGCCAGGTCCTGTAGGCTATATTTCATAGGAAGGAACTAGTAAAACCACCTTTGAGTATTCCTTACCAAATAGAATTCATGGGGTTGCCATAAGTCAACAAGTCACTTGAAGGCACAAACTCACAAAGTCCCAGAGTCTCAGATATCAGGAAGATCTCCTCAGATTGTTAACTGGCCTCACTAAAGAGCAAGCTGAGCATCCCTCACGGGATGCCTCCTACCACTAGGGACCATTATCATAGGAACAAAAACATAAGGCAAAGGACCCAATCAGGACCTTATTCTGTGGCATCAGAACAATGTGGTCTGGCAATTAAATTTTATTAAACTGAAAAATTATATAAAGACCCACATTTAGAGAGCCAGCATGGCATAGTGGTTTGAGTGTTAGACTGAAACTCTAGGGTTTGATTCTAAGACCAGGGTTTGATTCCCTGCATGGCCATGGAAATCCACTAGGTGACCTTGAGCAAGTCACATGCTCTCAGCCTCAGGGGAAAGCAATGCCAAATCTCTGAATAAATCTTGCCAAAGAAACCCTCATGATAGGGTTGCCTTAGTTAGAAATGGCTTGAAGGCATACAACAACAAACCTACATTTTATACAAGAAGCATCAGCCCTAACAGCCAATCACAGAAGTCTCCAGTGCTTTGTTGTTGTTTTATTGTTATTATTTTTATTCACAACTATGAAAAGGGTAGACGGATCTGTACTTTCTGCATGGATGTGAGCCTCATTGTTACTTTCCAAAAGCAGAACAAATGTAGCCAGCACTTCCCATGATGTTTTAGCAAGATAAGGTATTGCCACATTTGTCCTGCTTTCTAGGGCAAATCTGAGGAAAGAGGTGAGGGAGGTGTGTGGAGGTGGGGAGAGAAAGACTTGCATTTCCCGCAGTTCCTCCAAGTCTAGTTTTCTAGGTCTTCAATGCAACCTGGACAGCCACTTACATGCTGCTCTTATTTGTCTTGATTGGCATTTCCAAATGGATGGTAGCATGGTTAAACAATAGATTTAGTGAGCCTATACATGGTGAAATAAAAATTAAAAACAAAAACTATTAAGCAGAAATCTTACCTGAAAGTGTGGTGAGGACAATGAAAGAGCACAAACTATGACACCTCAAAACTGCATCTATGATAAGGCTAACCAAGTAAAAAGGAATCAGAGAACATAAGGACTGAAGAAATGCAAAGTAATAATAAACAAGTCTTTCAATACACCAGGAAGCGATACCAGCTACAGGCAACAGGTCCTTTGGATAATAAAAATAAGAGGGGAATATTGAAGGAAAAAGGTAACAGAATTATTTTCACCAGTCTTCACCACAGTACATGTTAAAAGCGATACCCATACTTATATCTCTGTTTTCAGGCAACCAAAATATGTCAAACAGAGGTATAAATGGAGACACATGGATATGGATGTCTTTTAGACTTTGTCATGGATCCAAGCTATTGTGAGCAGAGATCTCATCAGCCCTCCTCCCCCCAGTACCTGGAAGGAATCAAGAAGAAAACAAACAAACCACAGAATCTGGTGGCCTGACAGAATTTAGATATGTAGGTTTATATAAATGGAAATAGAAGAGAACAACAAAATAGGGAAGAACAAGAGATCCATTTTACAAGGTCCGGTAAATCAAAGAAAATTCAAACCAAGGACTGAGACAATACATGACAATAAAAATAATATAATTCAAAACCAGGAAGGAATAAAAAGACATTGGATGCAATACACA